GTAATAGGTGGATTCGAGTAAAATGACCAATAAATACAATAGGAACATTAAATGTTCGAAGATTTATTTACTAAAAACATCCTTGAACTGATTACCAGCCAATAAAGGCCGATTAGATGTATGTATAAATACACTAATAAACATTTGAATATTTCATATTTATTTCACCGTTCGTATGCAGCCAATACAAATACATGTATATATATGACTGTGGCCTGTTTTTGGTTTTCCAATTTTTTCTATTTTATTCAAAAAAAAAATTAATATTGTATTTATATATGAGAGTTTTATATGTATTTCTGATGTCTTGATGTTTTATGTCAGTGGGCGTTTTCCCTTTGTTTGGACCTTGAGTCTGTGTAACCCGGTTCTTTTACTTCCCTTTTTATCTGTTGTTGTAAGTTGCAATAAATTGAATAAAGAAAGAAGAAATGAATAGAGCTTAGCCATTGTGTGTGTGCTGAACTGTGGATATCTCTAGGCCCCTGGTTCAATTTCCATGTTGCTCCCCTTTCAGTGACAGTCGGATGGCTTAAATTCAAGTTACGATAGCGCACAATCTTTCGGATCTTTCACAGTACATGGTGTTATTGCACCAAAGAACACTGTAGGCTTACTGTACACTCTTCGGAAAAGAGTAGGGGATTGTCTCCCAGTGTAGGCTACTTCCCAACCACCACCAGAGGGACCTCAGTCTTCTTTGGTGTGTTTGGTGTTTACTCCGAATTCATCCATTCATTCATATATTATATATCGTAAATAACTGAATTAATGTTTCTGTATCTTATTAGGGAAGTCTTCCTCCTGTCGAGGACATCACAAACAAACTATACAGTGGCCAGTTGACCGTATTGCTTATGTCCAGTGGACATCGTGGAAAATGGAAGAAACGATTTGTGGTTATTAGTTTTTCACATATCTACCTTTACGATAAACAGGTTAGTTGCAGTAAATATTTTTTTTATGCTTTTTATTTATTTTTTCATGATTTTTATTCTGAAAATTGATCATATTTAATTAAACTCTTACTTTGTCTTCCTAAACAGAGTTCAAAAGGCAAAAATAAATACTGTGGAGCCATAAACTTACAAGATTTCAAAAGTTGTGGACCAGTAAATAACAAGCAACTAAAAAAGAAATACGTAATAGTCGTTCAACCACAAGATGACAATAATCAGGAATGGCTGTTCGCTTGCGACGACCCCAAGACGCACGAGAAATGGCTTCATCATATAAATGAAGCTATACGAAAGCAAAACCCTTTGAAAACCAGACCTGTTACAGTCCAGGTTTGTGGATAATAAAACATTGTTCAAGTTCTTTAGTTGAGTACCGATCCTACATCCTCTCTAGGAACCTTAGCATTGGCTTGGATGTGTTTGTCCTTAAGTCTGTGACGCTGTCATTAAATTCGTCAAAAAAATTGTAAAGAAGTAAATTTGAATTTAATAATAATCAAGATGTAGCCTGCTCAACTAAAATATGGTATTTTATGATTTTATAGAACAAAATACATATAACAAGTTATTAATTTCAGTTTGACGATTATACACTGGAGACGGAGGTATTTGAAAGTCGTCTAGCTAAAGACCGACCAAAAGGACCGGGAAGGAGAGCTCCTACCAGGAAAAAGGCAGAGGAGGTAAACCGGCAGCTCTAATATCTCATAATCACTGCGATCTCCTATCGAATTAAAGTCACCATCATCTTTAAATGACCATTATCAATATCTAAATCATTATAATCAACATCATCATCATCATTGGCATCATTGTCATAATGATCATCACCGTCATCAAAATCATCACCATCTTCACCACCACCATCATCATCACAATCACATCATCATTACCACCATCATCATTACCACCATCATCATGTCCATGTTCACCACCACCATTATCATCATCATTATCATCTTCTTTTTCATCGCAAACACCATCATCATTATTATTATCTTCATTATTATCATCATCATTATCATCATCATCATCATCATCATCACCATCATCATCATTATCATCACGGTTTTCATCATAATCATTATCATCATGACATCACCACCAAAATGAGCAGGTGGTGATATGATGGTGATGATGATGTGTAATTTAATCATCACCATCATCGACACCGCCACCATTATCATTTTCATCATTATCATCATCACCGTATCATCATTCTTCTAAAACTTTCGTTCCCACTGACAAGTGCATTCCTCTCTCTAGTCTGATGCAAAATCTCATGATGGTGATAATGATGATACAGAGGAAATGAAAGATGAACCAAACGCCGCTCCTGAGGACAATGAGGGAGTGACATCTGCTGATGATGGGCACTATTCCAGTGGAACAGATGAAGAATTAGACAAAGAGGATGCGGAGACCGAGAAACCAATGGTCACTGACCTGAAGCAAGAGGTATGTCATCACTGAAGCTAAGGGGTTTTTTTTCTTGCTTTTGTGACGTACCGGTATGGCGCGCAGCAACGAATAAACAAGCGCGTACATTTCCTGTTAATTCAAACTACAATATCTCAGGATTTTAATAGTAAAACATAGAATAACAATTTTAATTTTTAATTTCCATTTTTCATCAGCAAATGCAATGTAAAACTCATATAGAGCAACAATACGTATAATAATCTTATGTTTCGAAATCATGTCTATAATTCCATTAAGTAAATCATGATGATATATAGTACAGTAAAATCGCATGCAGTATATAGGCCTATACACCTTTCATATACTGTCTCTTATACACATCTAGATGTGTATAAGAGACAGCTTCGTTAACAATATACTGTACTCGCGCGAATAAGCGCCCGAGCGCTTAAAATATTTTTGGATCTTTTTCAGAGGCGTTTATTCAAACGGGGCGCTTATGGAAATAGAGTGGAAATTGAGGGGGCGCTTGTGCAAATAGATGAAAATTAAAGGGTTTCTTATGGCAAGTTGGAAAATTCAAGGGGCATTTTTTTTTTATCGAAAATAAACGAATGGTTTTGTTGAAGAAAAGGAAATCGTCGAGAGAGCATGGCTCATAACAAGAATGTTGGGGGTATTTACACAACAGCAGATGAAATTTGTGGTGGTGGTGTTGGTGTTGGTGGTTGCGTGTTGTCCATCTACCAATTCAGATTAGTAGGATCATTGCAGGGTTTCTTGCTTAGATAAGAGAGTGATGAGGTCAGTTTATTTTTGTTGACTGAAAATGGTCATAAAGTATTTTAATTTTTAGATATTAAATACTGTAATTCTAAATCCAAAAATGGGTAGGCCTACCAATAAAACAAGAACGAGATTTTAAAGATGCATCAAAACTGAAAAAAAGCATGTTAAACTTATGGAGACTGTTAGACCGACAGATGGATAGATGGACTGACCGACCGACAATACTAATATAGATACGAATAGTTGATACAGAAAATTAAATTGGTGATGTATTGTACTGTACTGTATGATTTATTTTTTAGTAATCGAGGGGCGCTTATTTAATTCTGCCATACATTATACATTTTTTACCGGACGTTGGTGCATTCAACAAGTTTGTTAGATTTTTAAAATTCCATTTAAAAAGTTAAAAACTGAAATTCGCCAGAGGATAGAGGCCAACTTAACAAATAATTTACTTCGGGTTTCTTTTAAACGTTCGAAGACTTATTAAAATGATTGCATGGTTTTCAAATAATCTAACCAGGTTCCAGCAATAGGCTTATACTTACGAAAACTACACTTGTTCACTGCCAAAACAGAAATGTCTACTATAGGCGGTTGCCTTCATAATAGCAATTCATACTAAAATTATGATAAATTATGAGAAGGTAGGTGGATCGTTTAATATACTTAGGGGTTTTGGTCAATAACGTTGTAATTGCATCTCCTATCAGTTTCCTGGTTTTGGGACATTATCCACATTCATCAAATAAGAGAATGTGACTTAGCAGGTCAGTTCACATTTAATGTAAACTAATTCTGAACACGATATATATATAATTTTTTTCTTTTCTTTGTAGCACTTTCCGAAACGCATGAACACTCCACCACTAGGAATAGCTTCACTAACCTCAAACTTAGCAAAAGAGGCGGCTCAGAAACGTCTTGAGAGTCGAAAAGAAGAAACCGATGAATCAGATGACAAAACTACAAGCAATGGGCATGCACAAAATCAAGAAACTAATGATGACGACGACACGAAAGAGGTTACGGATAATGACTTGGAACTTAAACGAGGACCTTCTTTTGTACGAAGATTAAGTAATTCTTTCATAAAGAGTTTTTCTGGTAGTGCAGGTGATTCAGACAGAAAATCTACTAAAAAACCACCTGTACAAGCCCCTTTAAAGAAACCAAAACCAGGTCTTAAGGTCGACAGGCCCCGTGATAGGCCTAACTCTTTAATAGTGCAAGGGTCGCCTAGGATGGTCTCAAAACTTTCACCACTCCATTCCCCAGTAGCGAGTAAAGGAAGCAAGCCGATTGTTAGCCCCAAAACGCCGACAGATTTAAGAGAAGCTGTCAAGATGGTTGATGCTGTAACACAATCAAGTGAAAAACTTATCATAAAAGCTAAAGCTTTGCGGAATGCCATCAAGGATTTAGGTGGGAAGGACAAATACTTAGAGACGATGCATGCAATCGAGAGAAATGCAAAATTTGCACTCGCCGACATAGAGGATGCTATTACTCAACTGACTAAGGCGCAAGATGAACTGAATAATACATAAAAGAAAGAATTGAACGAACGGAACTGAATGAGGCGATGAGCACTAACAAAATCTGAAAATGTGACGCTAACAAACAAATTTTAAATTCTATCAACTGTAGTTTTGATATAAAAATACTAGGCCTACATGAAGAAGTGTAGGCCTACTGAAATGGATGTGCCGCAAAATTTTGAGTACGCAATGATCGCGTCATGTCGCTGTTTCAGGTGAAATTGTAAGTGAGAGAGCCGAATTCAATAGGAACGTTTTAGTTAACGTAAGCTGGAGAATTATGCAGCAAATTCACGGGTCCGAAGTCCTTCTAACACCGGCCTCCTTTAGGAGTTGTTTGCTTAGCACAGTATAACCCCAGCTAACGGTTTTACGTTTTTATAATGTTACAATCTGGTTTACAAAAATATTTGTGTAGAACCGTGAATAGTTATTTATAATTTACTTTTACAACTAAATAAAACTGCAACTTTGCCGCAACGTTGTATTAATGTCATTTTCTGACATATTAATCATAACGTTTGCGAACTGTTTGTGTTTGCTGGGATGTTGTATCTCTCAAAAGTATATTAGGTTGCCAGCATTTACACACAGGGTGCTAATGAAGGAATAATAAATAATAATAATAATAATAATAATAATAATAATAATAATAATAATAATAATAATAATAATAATAGTAAATTATGTCATTACTGTAGGCCTACTTCTGACAGAAGTACCCACCGTGGCGACATTTAGCACATTTCGGTGCTAATCTGAATTTAAAATGACTTGTATTTGTATCATAGGCCTCCTTTTTCTGACTTATGCAACATTTGTAAATATAATATTCCATTATGCAGTATAAAAAAATTATATCAAGGGCGGAAACAGATCCAGGTATTTTGTCGCATTCCGGGAAGAAATGTTTTAACCTGATCCTTGTAAATGTCTTGAGTTTTGAATAAGAAATGTCTCAATCCTTTTTTTTTCGACTTTTGATGTTTGCACCTGGTTCTGTGGCTGCCTTTAGAGCAGTGCTTGAATTTTAATTCAATGACGATGATCTTGTAATATTCGAATTCCTATATCATATCCACTACTAGTAGGCATAGTTTATTGCAATAAACATTTTGTCTTTCCCCCCACCCCACCATTACCACAAGGCATTAAAAATATATATTTGATATTGTAATATACATATATTTTCTCACTCGTTGTTCCAATAGTTTTAGAAAAACATGTACTTAGTTCCTAGACATTTTTAGGATTTATTTAACTTATGATTATTGTTATTGACAATCCAACACATTTAAGTTTGTATATACTGACATGTTTAGTAGGGAACTTTCGATTGCACGACGACGGTAGGGCTAGAACGTAATGACGTCACTAAAAGTCCTCTGCGCATGAAAGAACGTTTAGGTCACCTCTCATCGAGTAGATTCTGGAACGCAATTTGGCCAAACAGAGAACGTAGGGCGCCAGGTAGGACGGTCACGCATGAGTGATTCCGTTCCAGCGTCGCATCGTCGCACAAATCGAAAGCTCCCTAGTAATAAAGTAATAAGCCAATTCGTATTTTGAACCGTGCATGTCAAATTCAGTCGACATAAGCAAAACATACAGTACACACTACATATGTTTATGGAGATTGACCTTGGATACGGAATGTGCAGATCAAACTACAAATTAGCCTATTCAAAAGTTAATGCAAGAAACAAGATATCAAGTTACAGTATTCACTGATATCGCACGTCATTTTAAAAAGCAAAATCAACTTCTAAAATGTATGTCGTTAGAAAATTAAAACTCGGTTATGGCTTAGTTCAGACTAGGTGGATAAACCCGGCTCAACTTACCGGGTTTATCCACCTGCCAGTCTGAACTAGGTGGCTTATCTCAAGCCGGGCTGTGTTCCTATAGTAACTAGGCCTGGTGCGCCACCGTGTTTAACTTTTCTAAGCCGGCCTTTAATCGTTGCGGGGGGTCTTGCATTGACTTCGGGTGACGAAATGACCAATCAGCATTCAATTACGTACGCTGTGAGCGAGCGTACGTTTCGCGAGCAATGTTTTGAAACACGTTTCCTGGTTACGGTTATTATTATGCAAATTCTCGCCTGGCTAAACCCGCTAGTCTGAATGCCCGGCAAAGTTAAACGTAGCCTATAAGTAGTTGTTTCTTTCTGCCTGACTGCTTATCAGACAGGACGATACTATCCACTACTTGACACGCAGTTATATTTGAATGATATTATTGTGACCAGGATGAATTCTCTCGTCCCTGTTTGTAACGTGGTGTATTCGTAATGAAGTAAAGGAAGATATTCCTATAATTTTATAGAATCAAATAGCAACGCATTCTGAAATAATAGTGTTTATTTAGTCAGGCCCATTTCTAGGTTTGTGCAAATATGTTGCAAAATAATATATCAATGCATTTGTATACGGTAATGGAAACTTATTCAATAAAAATACATTGTTTTTGCTATGGGTGATTATGTAATAAGTGATTTTAAAAGTTGAAATTATACAAATTTACAATAGAATAATTCAAGCAGGGCTCTCACTGCGTCTGACGGTCGTCGGCCAACGAGATTCTATGGCGAACGCAGCGCCCCGACGTACGAGCAACGGGTCAATTTTAATGACGATCCGTTGAGACTGCATACCACCGACAGTCAGCAGACTTCGTCGCGTTGTCTAGCGCTCACATAGGGCCTAATTTTGGGTTACTTACTCTTTATTCCATTTAGTGCGAGCCATACCTAATTTAATTGGCGTCCCATACTCGATTTATTTTTTTTCGGATTATTTTTATTATTTGTATGCTTCTTATAAAAGTATTGTTATTTTTTTTTTATTCCGTCTCTAAATTAACTTTTTCGTTGGTGGTGCTGTCCAGAATGAGAAAAATAATATTTAAAAAAAAACAAGAGACTTGTGGCAAGTCTAGCGCTCCCAGGAACGGAGTTAGAGTCGTCGGACGTCGGTCGTACGACACACTGAGATGCCCGGCTTAAGTTGATATATTCCAAGTCAGACTGAATGTATTCTTGTTAATACGTTTGTTAATACTTGTTGCTTGTAAGTAAGCAGTGGAAACTTCGCTCAATGTTTCTCCAAACATCTAACATATCTTGCCTTCGAGAGTGACCACGTCTTCTCTCTATAATGTTTCCTTGTTATAAGTTGTTTTTATGCATTAGACGACTTTCTGTCCATTAGGAGAGGACTTGCATAGAGGAGGGGGACAATTCGCGAGGAAGGGCTGGGCATTTTTGTCAAAAAAATCTGAAGTTAATATCCCAGCTTTCTAGTTCAGGACAGTGTGACGTCAAGGCTTTTTTTCGACGAAAGTGAGAAGCCTCAACAACAAGAAGTGGATTAAAGAGTGAAGAATGAATAATTACGAGCACTAAATCAATCATTGACTTTTGACGAGGGACCCCCCGAGGCCTTCTACCGAGGTCCCTGTGCTGAAGGGTCCGACAAAATTATTAGCGGTTCCAATGTTATGGAAGATTAATTTTAAGCGGTTTTCTATTCCCAATTATGGAAGTCAAAGCAAACGAAAACATCTGCGAGCACAGGCAAACAGTGTCTGGAACACGGCCAATGGGGTCTAATGGAAGAATAATTTCAGTACTTTTGCATTTTTATGGTTTCGTCGATGTATTTCTTGATAATTACCAGAGCCCATGCACCGTGGTTGAAAACGGAACATGAACCCGAGTAGTGGCGTGACGTCCATTGTCTTATGGATTTCCCCTCTCGTAAATTTGGCCCCTCAGCTTAAAACTAAAATGACGGTGGCTTCCCTCTGCCAGATAATTCGCCCCAGTTATAGTACCAACCGTCTTGTGGGTATTGGGCATGCACAGAAATTGTTTCTCTTTACCGGAGAAGGTTTTTCCTGTCACAGGCCTAGTCCATTTCCAAACAAAAATCTTTCAAAATATTTGATTTTTGGCTGGAGAAACACTTTTAATTATGTACTATTAAGTGTCGTATAAGGGTTTCATCGTGTTCAACCGATAGATATAGAATAAAATACATGTTTTAATTTTAAGTGGTTTGTTTTGGATATTCCAATAGCGTAATAATTTGGGCATGTGAATTTGTGGCATTTTCCCGTAGCCATACTGTACTTTGTTTCAAATCGTCCAGCCCCAATTCCTACGCTTATGCTTTTGCCTTGGGTATTACAAACACAGCCAAGTTTGTTTTGCTGCATGAAAGACGTAGGTCGAACAGTTCCAGCACCCAGAAAAATTATTAGTAAATTATTTGGTGTTTTAAGTTGAGTTGTATAACTTGTGTTCACTTTTCGCCACTTTGACCTCCAGTGGCTTCCCTTGTATTTTTCTTTTGTATAGATGACTAAATTGCGTGCATTTTTGGACTTTATCAATAATTAAGTTGCAATTAGTTTTGTTTTATCCATCGTGCTATTTTGGTCCAAAACTCTATTGATGCATGGCAAAAGTAAAAAAAGATGTTCTATGCTTTCCTTCCAACATTACAAAATGTACATTTATCACTGTCTTTTATACCAATTTTGTAAAGAAAAGAATTTACACCGATAAATTTATGAATTACTCGGTATTGCAACCATCTTAATTTGGTATCTTGTGTGCATTTAAAAGGTATATTTTAAATCAAAGTCCAATCCTATTGGTCATATTCGTTTTTGCATGATAACTTGCCATTTCAGTTTATAAGATTCTTTAAAATTATTTTCCAACACAAGCTTATTATATACCTGTCTTGTGCCTTGCTTTAATTTTAATTTACAAGCATTTTTCTTGTTTGGCAATTTACGATGAAATTCATTCTTCTTAAAATTACGTTGAATACAATCAATCATTCCATAATATTTAGTTAGATTGGATTCTATTTTATACATATCCCAAATTCTCTACCAGAAAGGAATGTTCCATTTTCTTTAACTAAATCATTAACATACAGTTTACTCTTACTTTTCCAAGGTTTATAACACACAACTTTTTGTTCAATTCTAATCTTATCATTGTACCATAATGATTGCCTTAATATATCATCCGAATTGTGTTTTTCAGGGGCCATTAAATTAAAATAATTCGACCAGGCTGATTAAACATCTATCCAAAAAGTGTTTGGAAATTTTAATTTCTTTAATGGGTTTGTTAATTCCATGGACCTTCCCTCTACATCTGTTGCATCTGTAATACCTAACAGGTAATTTAATAGAAGGCACCATTCTGCGCTTTTCGAATTGAAGTAGCGTTTAATCCATATGATTTTAAAGCATTCATTTGGCATGTAACATTTATCATACGTAGCCCTCCTTTATCGTAATTAACTGATTTCTAGAAACTTTATCTACACCTTTCCAGACAAAGCTAAAAAACATTTGATTTAATTCTTCAACGTAGTCTGCTGGAGGGTTAGGAAGAGTTAAAAATAAATATACCAGTTTTGAAGATATCAAAGACTTAAGTACCATGATCTTACCCAAAACTGTAATATCCCGTTGTGCCCATAAACGCAATTCTTTTTTTTTATTATTATTTTTATCAGAACCTGTTTATAATTCTCAGCTGCCATTTTTCCTCTGATACACAGAAATCTATTTCCAAGATTTTAAAAAAGTTGTTTGAAAAAATCCAGTTAACCTTAATACCTTTACATATTTTATCCACTCTGAGTCTAAAGGATCCTATCCATAATACATTTGTTTTTTAAACATTCATATTTAATCCAGAAAGACTTGAGAATGTATTTAATATAGAGAACAATTCATACATTGACTTTTCAGATCCATCAGTAAAGATGTTATTATCATCAGCATATTGGGAGAGCTTGTACTCTTTATTATTGATAACAATACATTTTAAACATTTGTTCTGTCTAACCATCATACCAAAAAACTTGCATGCAAAGTAAAAAGAGGTATGGGCTTAGTCCATTTCCCTGTAAACTTCCACCCTCAATCTTAAAAGCTTCCGATATAAAACCATTTATTTGAACTGAGGATTGCGAATCTGTAAAATACATTAACCAACTTCTGAAGGGACACTCCAAATTTAAATTGCTTTAGTGTTTTAAAAATAAAAGAATGTGACACACTATCGAACGCCTTTTGGAAATCAATTGATATTAACATACCCCCAATATTTTTGTTTTTGGTGATATTTAAAATGTCTGAGATAAGTCTTATGTTTTCCCCAATATATCGACCACCCATAAATTAAGCCTCTGTGTTGTTCGTTTATTATTTTGGGGAGAACGGATTTCATCCTCTCAGCAATACATGAGGAGCCAAGTTTATACGACACGTTTAATAAAGAAATTGGCCTCCAATTGGATAATTAATGTCTTGGCTTTTCGCATTTTTTTAATAGAGTTATTACTCCATGTCTTTGTGTTACCGATAGTTTTCCGATGTCATATGCGTAGTTTGGAGATCTTTTTAAAAAAAAAATGCCAATTTGATTGAAAAAAATAATACTTCAAGAAATAACTGGTCATTTACTTTAAATTTATATTCATCAAGAGGAATATTTTCGAGCTTGTGAATGTTATATACGTTTGCGATGTACGGGAGTTTAGTTTTTTCTATTGCTTCTCTAACACATTTTATATATTCTGTATCACGAAGGAGGGTGTTATTAAATTTCCAGTAGCTTTGACCTTTTTCCATATTCTGTAAGTCTAACTGCATTGTTACAATTGAGTGATCTGATCTATATCCCGTCAATATGTCGCATTTTTTCACTTGGGATAGCAGTTCGGGGGTTTTAGGGAAAAAAAGTCTAAGCGCGCTCGTTTAATAATAGTATGTTGTCTCCGGATTAATTACGGTATACGCCATGGATCAATTAACCCCTCTGTACTACACAGGTCAATCACTTGCGTTCTTGCTTGTGGGTTATTGATATTCACGTAATTAAAACTGTCAATATGG